ACACACAGACTGTGAGTGGCAACGAACCCTGTACTGACTTCAGACAAATCCACATAAGATAGCAGCAAAAAACGCATTAATGCAGACGATCGAGACCATACGGAAGTAAAGACGGTGGTAGTGATGAGAACGAAGAACTGGTAGATCCAATTGACCAGTAGCATAAGACTACTTGAGGATACTTAACGGACGCACATGGCGGTGCAGCTAATTGCACCAAGCCATATGGACTAGGAGCTCTGTGACTGCAAGCTTATTGATGAAGTTGAGGAAAGCAGCATTGGCGAGAATGCCGAAGGACCTGATAGTATGCTCCCATGAAGTCCGGCGGGGCCTGTTCTACTGGTGTACAGTCTCGCCTGTGCCAATCCATCCACACATAGACTCTGCAGCAACCCACAAATCATAGGGAATGCGATCTCCCGGGCAGCTCTTCTGAATAGAACACTATTCACTCTCGGGCACATGTGCACGCAGCAACAGGCACTGATGGCACAGATATGGGTGACTGGATGACCCCAGGGGCCAACAGGTTGGATTTCTCACCTCTAAGTCCCATTCCGTGCGAGTGCGAAATTGGCTCTTCTCGCCAAAGCAGCCACCTGAATTCTCCTGAAGCCACGGTCGCTAACCATTTGTCGATGACCACCCAGTTTGCCTAGTGATTCTCCTAGTGGATGGACACGATGATGTTGTTTCAAGCTTGTTAGTCGGGCGGATCATATGGTTAAACTGTCGGCCAACTGAAACTGCAGAAACCCATTCACCTTCGATGGACGATGGAATGAAAATGTTGGTGCATTCCACTTCGCCGAAGGAGCAAACTAGAACACAAACAAGGAAGATGAAGAAGTGCTATGAATTTGCGGAGTTCGGACACCTTATGTTACGCGCCCGTGCGGTGGATCACCCGAGCACTGATCTCAGAGATCATGCAGCTCAAGCCACGGAGTCCAAACGAAGGTGGGCGACCTTCCATTCGGCTGAGTAGCGGAAGTAGTTGTTAGTTGATCTTGGAAAATGATTGTAGCTGAATAGACTGCGGCATATGCTTGAGCAGCCTTAGCATACTCGATGCTAAGTCTGATCCGAGTGCCCAAACTGTGCCTTTAAAACCGATGCTAGTCGGTCATTTACCGTATAGAATTCGGACAGGCAACCTCCAAATGACTATGCTGTTAATAGCGGGAGTCTTATCAGATAAATTAATATCGTCAAACATCAATTTTGTAGCAGATATCTTAGCGTGATGGAAGTGTCACGGTCTCGCCTATTAGCTCGACCCGCGGCTCGACGCGTCCACTAGTCTGAGTGACAAGCTCCGTTCGACCCACCTTATTTTTAGACGCATCCACATACCTGACCGTTGTTTGAACTAGCATCGCTTGGCTTGGGGTCGCATAATAGCCTCGAGGAACTTAAACAGTTAACCTGCCTTGAAACCAGCCACGCACCGGTGCCACTCGACTCATCGTCATTGGCATACACCTGTCCGCGACTGCAAGCTTACGTGCGTCATGCTCTCGTCCTTGACCCTTGACCCGACTCGTCGGTCCAGCTTCGCAGTGAGACTCAGTTGATCATTCCGTGACATTTCGTTGTACCTTTGGTGAGTGCATATCAGCGAGGTGTATTTTGGCTCTAATCTCCGTCTGATCAATGATGACGTTTGTCTCTTGCATCGCTCCTGTGATCTACGTGTCATGCGGTTAGCTGATGTCTGTTGTGGGTCGAGACAAGCGCCGCGAACACGCTGTTTTGCCGAAGTTACCGAGTTAATTGGCAAATGTCTTAAGCAAGCAAAGCAAAACAAGTTATGATGATTAAAGTTGCAGGGGAAAAATAAGTGCACTGGAATACAGTATGAACCGGCAACACAGCATTCAACAATGCTCAGGTACGTCTGTTTGCAGTTCGATGTAATTGCAGATCCTGGTTGTGGTCGTGGTTGCGCTGATTGTGAAAAATTCGACAGTGTCTCAGACTAGTACAGTGGAAAGGATGTAACACAACAGACGATGTGCGGCAGACCGTTTGAACCGATGGCCACTTATGGAGAGGTAACAAAACCTATCGGGTCGAACGATTCATGATGAATGGGTGTAGAGAACCAACTCGAACTATAAAGCCGATGCGTATACTAACTAAATGATCTTCATTTGCACGACAGTCGACCGCAGAAGGACAAACGTCCGGTTAGAGTAGCTCATCTATGCACACCACCAACGAGAAGTTAAAAATTCAAAAGCTTGGTAGAAAATTTGTACTGTTGGTCATTGGATAACGCCGTAAAAATTGGGGATACTGCTAGCATTCCACGAAAACGGGCAAAAGAGAATCACTTCACACACACCGTCGCAGTGGTAGGTCCACGAAACGAATCCTAACCGTTTAAAAACCCAAACGGGACAAAAAAGGCAGTGACGTGCGTAGTGTAAGTGAACTACAAATCTTCGTCTAGAAAGATGGCAAGATCAGGTGGATAAAGCGGATCAACCGTGGCTCTCTCAAGTGTGGTGCTGGAATGATAATATGTACATTATATGCCGCAGTACTGTGTCCACCTAAGCGTTCAACATGGTGGGTGACGTGCAGCGGGATTGCAAACGCTTTATACGCTCGTATATCTTCACTCCGGGCCCAAGTTTGATACCCAACTCGGTCAGAACATCCATGCGTTTCATCAGTAGTAAACAAGCACCATCGATCTCTTGTTGAAAAAAGGCCTCCGCCTCCCGTGGAAATCCTTCCTCTAAAAGCCACTCTCGCACGTGTTCAACCGTCCAGGCTCGAATATCCAGCGGCCGAATCAGACATTGTATGCTTTCCCGTGACGCCGGAACATCCAAAGTACCGACACTGTTGAAACTTTCAGGACCGTTGGATTTATCCTCAACCGCACGTGTGATGGAGGACGGTGAGTCGGGGGCGGATACGACGTCGGGAGCCAGTTTAGCGGCATCCCAAGACCTAAATAATGTCAAAACGGAAAAAAATAATTAATGTGCAAGGACAGAAGACAACGGATGATGACTATGGAATGGATAAATCTTCGACGGCGAAGCAGGAAAGGGGGCGTGAATCGGTAGGTATGGAGCAGTAAGGCATAAAAAACCTTTGGATCATTTGCCCCTCACTAACCTGATCAGTGAAAATGACAAGTGAGTGGTTCCGGCTGCGCCCAAGGACGTTTTGAGAATTTCAACCCAGTGTTCATTCGAAAACCTATTCTAACCGGGTCCAAAAACTGCACCAGTACCACTGCACATGCACAGTGGAGGAAAGTGCGGATGCAAACAAGTAGATCGGAGACAACTATTCAAGGATTTATCAGTCAATCATTTTATTTGGGCATCGTATCACTGAAATGGAAGCTAAGAATGCAAAGGACACATCAAAAAGCAGAAGACTAATAAACAAAAAATGAGTGACAGGTTCATCGTTGCAAGTGGTTCGTCGATCTTCAAGCCAGCTATGTAAGTAATCACCAGAACGCTGACCGGTGAGGAAGGGAGGTATTGAGGCTCACAAGTACGGGACTGATATAACTATTCCCACCTATTCATCGAAATTGTTTACAACCCGCATCAGTGCCTATAAACAGAGCATTAGGTGTTGGTAAGCTTGGTTGTCCGAGTAAGTTTGTAAGTTTAATTGAATGTCTGCACAGTGGTATGCGGGCAAGAGTGCAGCTGAGTGGAGAGACCTCGGATGACTTTGCAGTTGTCTCTGGTATGAAGCAAGGCTGTGTCTTAGCTCCTGTCCTGTTTAATATATGTCTTCATGCTATGATGTCTTGTGACTTTGATGCAGCTTGTGCTTACGGTGTTCGTGTGGAGCACCGTATTGATGGTGGGTTGCTGAACATCCGTCGTTTCGGTGCGAGAACCCTAGTCTGTGAGACAACTATCCGTATGTTGCTGTTTGCTGACGACTGTGCGTTGTTTGCACACAGCGCGGATGAGTTACAGCACATGACTTGTGCTCTGGCTTCGACAACGGCCAAATTCGGGCTCACCATCAACACAAGCAAAACTGTCGGTCTGTTTGAGCCTTCACCGGAGGTGCAATCTTCAATATTGCTGCGAATCAGCATTGGTGATGACGTATTGGAAACTAACTCCAGCTTCTGCTACCTTGGGAGTGTGGTGTCGACTGACTAGTAGCTACACAATGAGCTGCGTATCCGCGTCTCGAAGGTAGTGGTGTCATTCGGGACGCTAGAGTACCGAGTGTGGAACAGCCATCAGCTTACCGTTGACACGAAGCTGATGGTGTACAAATCCATGGTGCTGTCCGTTCTTCTATCCTGCAACGAAACGTGGACGATGTATCGGCAAGATGTGCAATATCTCGAGCGGTTCCATCAATAGTGCGATGGATTCTGAGCATCAGGTGGGAGATATATATATATATATTTATTTATTTATTCACAGTCTGTTAACAGACATTGTGCCATCAGAACCATGGCAGAAGAAAAAGGTGAAGAAGATGGGGACACTAATGCGATTAAAAAATATGGGAAACGAATTTTTTTTGGTTTTACACACGCCATTTTGTATTTTTTGTTTTGTTTTGTGAGTTTTTGTGTGTATCAAAGGGATGATGAAATTGCGGAACAACATTGCCGCCACTGATGTCTGTTGCGGGCCATGACGTCCAATGTTTCCAACCACTGCAATTCAGCATCTCGTGGTCCCCAACCTGGAAGGCGGACTGGTCCGACTGCTGCCAAACTTGAGGTCGCCTTCTTCATACTCCTTCTCCACGTCATCGGCTGTCCACCGCGGCACTTTTTCCAGTCGCTCCCTGGGAGTGCAAATAGCGCTCGACGTGGAAGGCGATGGGCTGGCATGCGCAGAACATGCCCGAGCCAGCGCATGCGATGTCGGAGAATAACGTCTTGAAGACTGGCACTATTCGCCCCAAGCACGCGGTCTCTCACCTCTGCGTTGCTTACGTGGTGTTGCCACCACACCCTAGCAATCCTTCGTAGACAGCGATTATCAAAGACTGATAGCCGCTTCATATTTTCCGAGCGAATAGGCCAAGTCTCACAGCCGTACAAGAGTACTGCACGGACGGAAGCATTGTACACCCTGCCCTTGAGCTTGAGACTGACATCACGACGACGCCATAGATGTCTCAGTTTGATGAATGCAAGGCGGGCCTTTGCAATCCGTTGTGAGACTTCATCTCCAACACCGCCACCAGCCGTGATGCAACTCCCTAGGTAAGTGAAGCAAGGGACTTGCTCCAGAACATGTCCAGCAATGGTGAGCGCGGGTTCAGGCACCTGCCAATCCTGGAGCAGCGTTTTACATTTTCCCGGAGTGAAGCACAGGCCGTACTTAGACGCCTCCATCGCCAAGCGGTCCAAAGCGTTCTGGATGGATTGTGGGTCGTCCCCCAGCAAGGCGATATCATCGGCGTAGTCCAAGTCCGTGAGTCTGTCTCCAGGGAGAAGCTCAACACCGCAGTCCTGGACACCTTCCAGTGCTCTTTGGAGAACATCTTCGATGGCGAAATTGAAGAGGAAAGGTGGGAGAACACAGTTGCGAATACGTGTTGCACCAGTGGAATGTATGCAGTGGACTGCATACTTTTGCTGACACTTGAGGTGGTTCGGTCAGGTGAGCCGTATGGATTCGACGTGGATACCGAAGCAGCTATTATATCGTCAGCTGTGTAGAAAGCGGCATGTGAGGAAACCGAAGTTCCGTTACCTATCGCGTTCCAATCTTGATTGCAGGTCACGGGAATCGAAAGCGGTTGATCGGCGTGCTCGGCGTGATCTGATCATCAAGGCCGTTGCCGAGATGCAAGAGAAAGCCCTCGCACACGCAGAAAAGCGGCAATTGCGAAGGCGACAGGCGCCGATGTGATGTACTCCATCGATACCGAGCGCATGGTGCTGTAGCACATGTGGTCGCAAGTGCCTGAGTCAGGCAGGCCGTGTGAGCCATGAGCGAGGCCGCCCGGGTCCACCACGAAAGCGACGACGGGTCCTGCAGAGAACGTAGGCAGAACCGGCGCAGCGTTTGTGGGGACGCTGCATTCGATTTACTAACCGCGTGATTGCATGCTAAATCGCTATATTTCAGATGGTGGGTTTGCTATATTGTCCTAATGCCTTTTTATCTCATTAATGTCTACCTGAACTATCTTCTATAATCTTGCACATGTCGCTGAAGCTAACTGTAGTTAATTCCTATAACATTTTCTCGTTTGTGGCATTTTTTTAACATATATTTTCTGATGTCTTGAACTTCTCGCAGATTTGTTCGTAACCAATTTATCTCATATGCTCATTTATTAAAGAATTATGTCATCGTATCTGTATGCATTATTCGAGTTATTTTCTTTGTTATCTTTCTCTCAAGTGATTGGCTGTTGCTTGTTATCCCCGGTGTGGCTGCGCTTGATGTGCATGTTGACAAAGTGCCTACCTGTCTACCACCCACTACCTCGTCCATACTTGCTGTAGGAGACAGTTGGTCGTTGCTGGAGGGTTCACGGTTCTTGTGGACGTGCTAGACTCGAAGAGTGGTTCCATGCACTCAGTGTGGAGCGGACTACGGTCCAGCCACCGCTTTGTGTGCGCTTGATTCCCAAATACAGCATGCTTGTTTTTGCCTGTGTAGGAGTGTGGGCCGGCTCCGTTGATGAAACGTGACTCCTATCCACATGCCTCCCGGTCTTATTCCTTCGGGTTTACACTGGATATGGGGTGTGTGGTTGGAGCTGTGGGTGATACAGCGAAAGCCACCCATGGTTTCTCTGTAGGTGCAGGCGTCCTGTGGTTGGTCATAGTGACAGACAAATCCGAAACCGGATGCCGCTAACCATGTGTTGGTAGCCTTACACGCTTTGAAGAGCGTCGGATCCAACAAAATGAGGTGGGCAAGCACCTTCGGACTTGAAACTCGCTCAGATGATATGTTAGCAGTCACGGCGCTACCAAGGTGTACGGTCAACGCCCACTGGGCGGCTGATACAACAAATAGAACGGAACTCGCGTGCAACGGAAGGTGATTAAACTGGTGTCGTTGGCGATATGGACTGCTAGAGACTACTTAGTGTAAGAGAGAGCGCCGGTGCCGAAGAACGTGTCGATTATTTTCATTATGATGTTTCGAACGAATATATCTGTTGAGGTTTCGTGTAGACAGTAAGACGGCAATTTGCAAACTGGCGGGAGCAAAAGCTAGACATTAGTAGGACAAGCAGAGAAATAGGCGGCAAGTAAATGTAAGCCGGTTACAACTAGGCAGGCGGTATACAAACGGTGATAGAAATGGTTCCACGTCAATAATTTCGCAAAACACCATTCAGCATGGGGCTAAATAGGAAGAAGACTGAATCTGATGGATTCTATCGCCCACAAAGGAATAGCAGTGGCCATGTTGAGATGTCTCACATATGCATAGACTAAGTGATCGGAGGCTAACTTACAACAGAGCAGTAGCCAAGCATATTTAACATCATTCCTAGTAGTTAGACCAGGTCAGGTGGCTTCCACAGACCCGGTGGAGCACCAATCAACCGCTTCGATAGCCTATGATCCATCAGTGTCCAACTTTTTCTTCGATCCGGGGTGAAATGGAAAAGTATGACCAACAGCAGTGTGATAACCGAAAGGATGACGTTTCGGAACTCAAGGTATTTCGTGGAGACCGGATTTGAGATACAGGTATGTCCTTGGAGATGCAGCGCGAAGAATGTGGGTTTGCGCCAGGTGATGAGATATAAGCGCGTAATATCTATCACCTGGGATTCAGGAACAGATCCAGTGGTGTCTTGCTTGAGTGTCCGCTGAAGCAAATACGCCGTTCGGACCATACACTTCGCATGCCCGCCGGCAAAGTGCCTCAGCTTACGCGGGTTGAATGAAACGTTTTGAGCCTGGCCCAGAAATCAGATAGCCAGGCAAGCCAAATAATATTTTTATAACCTACCACTTTTCCTTA